AATTCTTATCCGGCATGTTCATAGTCCATAGCTTTGAATACACTGCGACGTTTTAGACATGCTTTCCAACACTGTTTGGACGAAGAAAACACACATACACACATTTCACTCACATCAAAATTATGCTTGCAGAATCTTGCAAATCACGGATGCACCAAATCCTCTCCTAGATCCATGCAACGTACTCAAGAAATGAAGATCCACATCGCTTGGATTTTGCACATTTCACATCCCTTGAAAACATACCAGCGTATACCATCATATACCAACTATGTCAACCACACTGCATCACTTGTAACAGACAAGACTCCACCGTTTCTTCCAGAGGTTCTTGTGGATCTGCTGGCATCTGGTCCTGATTTTCGACCGCCGCTTCATCCACAGCCTGAAGTTGGGGGAACATTTTTGGGGCTGGGGTCGCAGTAGAGTTAGGAGAAGAACCATGAGAGTCGGTACGGTACAACTATAATTCTTATCCGGCATGTTCATAGTCCATAGCTTTGAATCCATTGCGACGTTTTTAGACATGCTTTCCAACACTGTTTGGACAAAGAAAACACACATACACACATTTCACTCAGATCAGAATTATGCTTGCAGAATCTTGCAAATCACGGATGCACCAAATCCTCACCTAGATCCATGCAACGTACTTCAAGAAATGAAGATCCACATCGCTTGGATTTTGCACATTTCACATCCCTTGAAAACATACCAACATATACCGTCATATACCAACTATGTCAACCACACTGCATCACTTGTAACAGACAAGACTCCACCGTTTCTTCCAGAGGTTCTTGTGGATCTGCTGGCATCTGGTCCTGATTTTCGACCGCCGCTTCATCCACAGCCTGAAGTTGGGGGAACATTTTTGGGGCTGGGGTCGCAGCAGAGGTTCAGGAAGCTTAAACTACTTTGGAGAAGAACCATGAGAGTCGGTACGAGTACCAGTAGTACCGCACAAGGCGGTGGCGGAAGTTTCAGAATAGGAAGCCTATAGGAGACGTTGGTTGTTGTGAATCACGGATGGCAGAGCGAATCCACTGATTGACCGAAAAGTGGTTGGAGTTGTGTTTGCTGGAGTGGTTGCAATGGTTGCAGTGGTCACCTCACCCACAACTGCTGGATGTAGTGTGATGTACTGCAACTGTAGTTGTAGTTGTAGCGTAGTGGAGTTGTAGCTGTGGTGTAATGTAATTAGTGTAGTGTAGTTGCAGTCATATAGTTGTACCTGTAGTTGTTTTGTAGTTGTAGTTGTTGTGTAGTTGTAGTTGTAGTTGTAGTTGTTGTAGTTCTAGTTGTTGTTGTAGTTGTAGCTGTAGTTGTTGTGTAGTTGTAGTTGTTGTGTAGTTGTAGTTGTAGTTGTAGTTGTTGTTGTTGCTGTTGTTGTTGTTGTAGGTGTAGTTGTTGTTGTAGTAGTTCTAGTTCTAGTTCTAGTTGTAGTTGTAGTTGTTGTTGTTGCTGTTGCTGTTGTCGTCGAAGTTAGGGTAGTTAAGTTAGTGAAGTTAGTTAAGTGAGTCAAGTTAGTTAAGTTAATCAGTGTCTACTTTTTCGACATCTTAACGTCAAACAAGATGAAGCCCACGAACCCGAATGCTCACACGTATGTTAATGGTACAGATGTGAAAACACATGGTTTTGCAGTCACGCACAATACCTTTCTGCAATAGTTTATTTGAAAAGTCTTGTGCATGTTTCCCTTGTTACCAGTCTGCAGTGTGGAGTGGAAAGTGTAGAGTGTGGAGAGTAAAAAGTATGGAGAGGGGAGTGT